GGCTAGTAGAAAGCAGATGCCTTCCTATTACGGGGTGAGTGCATCAGGTCAGCTGGAAATTCCATTTTAAAAGCTGCTGAGTAACAAGTGGCTGGAATACACAGATTAATGCCTGTTAATGCAAAAAGTAATTGAAAGGCCAGGGCTCCTTCTGGACTTTACCCTCCTGGAGTGAATTGTAAGGTGGGCTGGCTCTGCGGGGAAGGTGGAAGATGCCTTTGTCTTGGCCAGACAAGCTGCACCCCCCATCAGGCACTGTAGGGGTGGGGTCACACCAGCTTTTAAACACTGAGGGCAGATCTCAGAGAAACAGTGGTTTTCTGTCTCTGGAAGTGGATAGACACAAAGACCCACTTGCCTGATGGGAAAACTGCCCTTTATTTAGCTCTGGGTGGGAGAAGAAGCATTCCTTTTTCTGACTTGTCCTGGGAGACAATACTAAATACTCAGACTGTGGTGTGCCCATGCATAAAACTGCATTCTCAGGGCAGCTCTTCTTCCCTTGACACTTGTAAAGGCCATCTCCTGCATAAATAATCTGGGTTGAAATACTAATGTTGGAACCATCCTCGGTTGGCCTTCCCGCATGTCAGAGCAAGTCAGTGTACTGTCTCCCTCATGGTGAATAAGCCACTGGTGTCCTGGCCAAGAGGAAGAAATCCGGGTTTCAGTGTTAACCACAGTACTTTTTATTTTACAAATTGCCTTTTCTTGTTGGCTGCTCAAATTTCCAGCCAGAATTGCTATCACTGTGGCTGTTTCTAAAAATGCTTGTATTTAACAGACTCACTGAAATGAGTCAGAGGAAACTAGTGATTAGGTAAAGAGGTGTTCAGTCCTTAAACACACAGGACTTAAGATTGTGCTTCCAGCATGTCGATCCCCGTAGGTGGTTAAACTTGCCCAGCACAGACCTCGAATCCAGGCAGTCCCGGGCCTGACGAAGGGAAGTTCCTCTTGTTGGCGCATGAGTGGACTTTTGCTTTCCCTCTAACCAAAACTTCATCTCACCCAGAATCTTCCGAGGTTCTTAACTACAAGTCCTTGTTACAGAAGACTTGTTGCTGTGGCATATGAACAGGGCCTGGCAGATGGAGAGATTCCTTTAAACTTAAGAGCCTTAAATAGCTTTGGAACTACCCCAAGACAGTTTCCACTGGAGTTAAAATTAGGAGGAGTATTTTTAGGTGCCCTTGAAGGTTTTGGGGGCTCAAATCATCACAAGTGGGGAACAGACCAAAGGACCAGTGTCTGGCAAACTGGGTACCTAGAAATGCAGATAGGCTTCTGTTTTGTAATGCTGAAGAAAACTAGAATTCTCTCCCAGCTGTCCGTGAAGAGGGGGCGGCCCTGGGCAGCACCTTGCTACAAGTAGCCTTCCTTATCCAGCACTTGCTTCCAGGCAGCCTTCTGTGCTTCTAGTCTCCAGAATTTCTCTGTTCTAAACTTGACCCCTTAGCCTGTCACCCACCCACTTCCTTCCCTGCCCTCTGCCGCCTCTCAAAGGGGTGATTTCTACCTCTTTTCTTGGGCCCAGACAGGTTTTGGATGAGTTCCCAAGTGTTCTCAAGGCGTATGTGTTTGCCCTTGGAGCGTGCTGCAGCCTGTCCGGGGCCCTGGGCGCCATAGCCGGGAGCCCTGGCGTTTTCCCTGTGCTTCAGCCCCCACTCGGGACCAAGCAGTGCACGCCTTTGATGTTTGTTCTGAAAGTAGCTTGACTGCATCTCTTCATACATTTTTTAAAGTAATCATTGCATTTTGGAAAGCAGTGCTTATCAAAAACAACTTTTAAAAACAAGGTTTAATTCTTTAATAGTTCTCTCCCACTGAAACTGTCCTGGTGAGGTCAGCCGCTGATCTTACTTCTCTTTAATCTGAGTGTTCTCCATGTCACCAAGTGGAAATGCGCAGATGTGTTTCAGAGCCTGGACAGTTCACCTGCTCTGTGCAAGAAGTTACCTCCTTACTTGCCCAGTAGAATTAACTGTCAGCAGATGCGTTCTTCTGATATTGTACTGCAGTTTTATAATAATAATTTGCAGACTTTTATCTAACCTGCACTCATGGACAGACTATTAAAAGTTTTAAAATGTAACTGATTAATCAGTATTTGATCAATTAATGTCTTGATTTTTTTAATTAAAATGTATATTTCTAATCATATTTTATAAACCTGAGAGACCTGGTTGAATGAGTGTTTATTTTCCTGAAGGTGTTTTTAAGAAAAAGCTTCATAATGGCCTGTAAACTTTGCATATCTATGTAGTTTGATACATATTGTCACGTTTGAAAATCTTATGTATTGTAACTGGTTTTATACAAAATACCAAATAGTGGAAATTGTGTTATTATAATCACATTAAAGGTATTCAGCAAACAGTCTTGGTTCATTGCCTTGCCATTCTGAGTCATGTGGGCAGTGGTTAAAATGTGAAGCAGATGCAACCCTCTGTGTTAGTTTGCTAGTAAAATACTACAGGCTGGGAGGCTTAAACAACAGAAATTAGTCTTCTCACAGTGTGGGAGGCTGGAAATCCAAGAGCACTGTTTCTTGAGTGGGGCTTGCTTCTGGTGCCCTGTTCCTTGGGCTCTTCTCTGTGCTCTAATTCTGGAGTCCCTGTGTGCCCTCGTGTTTTAGGACACCAAGCAGATTGTATTAGGGTCCATCCTAACAGCCTCCTTTTAACTAATCACTTCTTTAAAGGCCCTGTCGCCAAATATGGGCACATTCTGGGGTATGGAGGGTTAGGGCCTCCACTAGGAATTGTCGAGGACATAGTTCATTCTATGACACCTTCCCCAATAAGCCTGAGGTGGGGCTCCTCCCGCACACCCACCACCTGCTCAAGCAGGGTTTGGCTCTCCGGAAACAGTTACTAAAGACAAGACACGTGTAAATCAGGCCTCTGGGGTCCTGTAGATAATAGGTGGGGTACCTTCACATTACCTGCTAAGGTCAGGACTGAAGGGGGGACCGGGCTGGAGCTCTCTACATCCTCATGTCTTCCCAGAATGCCACCCGCTGTGCTGTTGACCTGCCTGCACCCTTGATGCGCTCTCACTGGGCAGGACCCCAGATCTGATGCCCACACCATTACACAGAGGTTGTGTGTGTCTAGGACATAGGAGCTTGTTTGGTTAGGGAGAGCTGTCCAGTTTCCTAAGGAAGTTAACTTTGATTCACGCCAGGATGTGAGAACAGACCACAGGGCCCTGCTGTGCCACCTCTGTCCACACTCCCACCGGGCACAAGCACCCCAGAGTGTGCTTTGCAGACTCTGCCCTCTGTTGGGAGCCTCAGCATCTCCCAGTCCCCCCAGGGCTTGCCCCAAGGCTGGCGATAGGCTGTGTGCCCACTGCTGACCTGCAGCTGCTCAGTGGATTGGCGTGGGCTGCGCAGCTCGATGCACGAGTGCTGTGAGAGGCAGTCTGGCTGGAGGGCCCTGAAATTTGTAAGGCTTGCATGAAACCCCAGGCTGGGCCCTCAGGGCTGTGCAGTATGAGGGCAGGCTGCAGAGACCCCTTGCTTCCTCCTGTTTTCAGCCACACCATCCAGTGCCCATTCTACTGCATGGACAACTTGCTAATCTCTGCTTCCATTTAAGTAAAGTGGGGATAAAAATAATTCTTAACAGTATGAGAATTAAATGAGATTATATATGCAAAATGTTTAAAACTATCTGGCACATTGCTTTTGATAAATTCATTTTCTCTAGATAATTAGTAAAGACTGATTTTGATAAGATTTTGGCCCCTCAGTATCCGATACTTTTGGTAGCTGCAGCATAATTTCATGCAAGGGTAATGGTATAAGTGTTTTAAAAGAGGTCAGAATATTTTTACTTTTTTTTGAAGGGAGAAACTCAGGTGCTGCAGGTAAGTCTCGAACGTGGTTTGTTTGGAGGCAGGGTGGGGGTGCAGGTTAAGTGGAAAGACCCCTTCACGAGGCCCCACGAGTGTAGGGTGAGAGCAAGGTGATGCAAAAGGAGCAGTGCTGTGCCCCCTCAGACGAGCTCCGGTTTTTCTGTAACTGGGGATCCCTTATCTGCCTCCAGACCCTCACTGTCCAGCTGTAAAGTGTGGGGCGCCCTAGCACGGTCCCGGGGCCAGGGCGCAGCAAAGCATCCATCTGCCACGTCCTCTTCTATGTATCTCAGTGTGGCTGTGGCACATCAGAGGGCAGGGTGGTGGGAGGAATTCTCCAGAATGTTGCCTTGACCTTCATGCCATGACCCCCAGTCAGTCTCTGCCCATCGCTGCCCATGTAGGTGGCTTCACTTCATACTGTTGGAGCTGCATGACCGTACTTGGATGTGAACTACTTGGTGCTGAGGGAATTCTATCCTCTTAGGACAAAGTCTTTAAAAAGACGTTGCTAGGTCACAGATACACAAAACTGTTAAGCTTTTGAAGTACACTGTCACAGCAGTTGAGTAGAATTCTAGTTTCAGAGCATGGGTTCGGGACCCAGACCGTCTGGGTGCAAACCTTTGCTGCTTATCAGCTATATGATTTGGGCCAGGATGACTAGGGCTAATACGGTTGTATAAGGATTAAATTAGTTAATATTTGTTCATTACAAAGAACAAGTGCCTGGCACATACTAAACCACATACTGTGTGTGTTTTTAAAAATACAAATATTGCCTAAATGCTCTCCCACAGGACTGTGACAAAGGGCAGCCCCCTGTACTCCCTCACCAGCAGCTGTTGAGACACAGCTGAGCTGGTCACGCCCTGGGGCCCTGGGGCCCAGGTTGCTGTCACTCCCTGCTCTAGTTGCTCCCTTATGATTAGGGTCTGTTGTCTTGTAGTTGCACGGTGTGTCCCTGCGTTTTGCTCAGCTTATTGGGAAAGTAGGTGGACCCTCTGGGCAAACCCAGCTTCCTCCGCCAGCCCTGGGCCCCTCACTGGGACGCTGGCCCAGCCCACGAAGGGACAGAGAGCCTTCTGCGCTACCTTGCCATGAGTCTGACTGTATCTCATCTCTTTGCTAGCAAGTCTGCATGACTTTGAAATGCTTCAGGATGACAGGTGCTCCATCCACACTGGAACACCCAGGTAAGGAGGCTTCCCGCCCCGCAGGGCCAAACCCCTTGTGGCTTGGCTACCAGCAGGGCCCTGGGCTTGGCCCCACAGATTCTTAAAATGCACAAATCCCATATTTTTAAACATGTAGAGGCTTTGGATGGGAAAAGTGGAGAGGATAGTATGTTCTATGCATTGTTTTACTTGGAGAAAGACAATGGTTCTTCTCGTGGGTTTCTCTATGTAATACAAGATGTTTCAGGCAGGACGATTTCTTGCATAGGGCTCTCCTGGGAATGCAGCCAGTTGTGGCCCCAGCAGGGCCGCCTACTCAGCACCAGGCATGTCCCCAGCCCCTGGTGAGCCTGGTGTCCACACATGTGCAGTCCCCTCCAGGAGGCGGGGCTTCCCCTGATGGGCGCTGCCGGGACCTTGCTCAAGGGCGTGCTGTTCTCGCCTTGTTCTGCTCTGGGCCAAGTCCCTGTGGGCAGAGGAAGGGGCTGGAGGAAAGGTTTCATTTACAGAGCGGGTGGCGGGGCTCAACCCTGGGAGTAAGGTTCATGAGCGCTCCGAGACTGGGGTCCCCGAGACTTCAGGTTGAGCCTTGGGTGGGCAAGCCTAGTGCCCTCCTGCTGGCCCTGGCTTATCTCCCTGAGGTGGCAGCCTGGAGGGTTCCCATGCCTGCTGTCTCCATCTCTGTTGTGACAGAGCTGGGCAGCCCAGCGGGCATGTCCTGAGTAGCATGGAGGCCTGTCAGCTTTGTTGGGCAGGGCAACCACTGTTGGTCAGGGTGATTCTGCTCTGGCCAACCCCAAGTATGCCTGCAGCTTCCTGAGTTCAGAGCATGCCCCGGGGGGTCCCTTCTCCACCCTTCAAGCAACCTTGCCCCCCAGTGACCCCTTGAGACGGCTTCTGGTGCTGATCTGCTCCCTTTTCCAGCGGTGGCTGGCTGTCCTGGGCTGTCACCTTTCTAGACAGACTTTTAATCTGGCTCGGACTCCGCGGGGACTAGACCTCCAGACGGTCTCTCCTGGACAGCCGGGAGCCCAGCTGCGGAATTTCTCCCAACGTGCAGCTGCAGCCTGTGTTTCAGGGCCCTACCTCAGCCTCTCAGTAAAAGAGTTGTTGCCTTGTTTTTCCACTGGGTTTTTTTGAGGTTTCAGTCCAGGGCCAGGGCTGAGCCTGCCTGTAGGTGCCCTGGGTTGGGAAGACACCCTTGCTGTTAGTGTGTTCAACCCCAAGCTCCTTGGGGAGACAGCCTTTCTTGAACTTTCTCAAGGTAGGGGCTCCTGTGAGTGTCTGGAGGAAGCTGGTCTGTCTCCCCAGAAGTGTTGATGAAAATGTCTGTAGGGTGCAGGCAGACCCTCCCGGGCCTCACTGGCCAAGCGCCCCCTAGGGGCGCTGTCCATGCAGATGCAGTGTGAAGGGCGCCCCCTGCCCGTGAGCCGTAAACGAGCCTGTTCTCCAGTCTCCCGGGGATGCCCTCCTGGCCTAGGGACCCTTCTGCCTTGGTGACAGGCCCCTGGGTTCAGGTGGAGCGGGGTGGGGGGAGGTTCCCACCGCCCTCGCTAGGCCCCGACCTCCACGTTGCTTCTCCCCACCTTGCTTTCCCACTGCGCAAGCCCCTCCAGGCCCCTGCCCACTCCCACTGGCTGTCCCTCACCACCCAGCAAGTTCGGATCATTTTGCGTTGCTGAGAATTCAGAGCTCCCTCATAGAAAGGGCATCCTCCTTTGCTGCATCCTCCTTAGCTCGAATGCTGCCAGTGTCTGGGTGGGGACTGTGGGCCAGGGCCGCCAGCACAGTTGTGTGGGTCACCTGCCACGTGAGGTCCCCTAGGGCTGGGCACACTCTCTGGGCCACAGGGTCTGCAGCATCTCTGGTGGGAGAAGGTCCTTGAGGAAGTATTTCCCACCTCCCTGTCTGAGGATGTTTGAGGATCGCAAAACCCCTGGGAGGCTCAAGTGCAAGTCGATGCCTCTCCTTCCCAGCAGACAGGCATTTTGTTGGGGATTTCCTATCACCTGAGTCACGGCTAACCTGGTGGCCAAGGAAGAGGCCCATAGCAGCGGGAGTGGGGAGAGGCCCGGGGGCTGGTGGTCCTCGAGGCTCCATGGGGTCCCCAGAGAGCCTCAACTCAGGTGTCCTGTTCCCACCGCTCCTCCCCGGCGACCTTGAACCTGGTCTCTTGTTCCCAGAAGTGTGCCCTCTGCATGTGCAAGAGACATGTAAAGCTTCCTGAGGATACTCCTCATTCCACTGTGGTTCCAGGAGGGCTGCCGGGGTGGCCTCCATCCTGCCCCTCTCGGGGTGGCCTCCCTCCTGCCCCTCTCCCTGGGTGGCCTCCCTCCTCCCCTCTGCCGGGTGGCCAGCACAGCAGCGCAGGCTCGGGGGCCCAGGGCCCCTCAGAGGGACGTGTCTCTGGCCTGCCCCACCTCTCCCGCCGCTTCCCGGAACTGGAAGGTTCGAGGGTATGTGACAAGGACACAGGCTGGGCGCTGAGCCGGTTTCTGCCCCCTCCCCCCCACCGCAGCCCGGGTGCTAGTGTGACCCAGCCTGCAAGGGGACCACACAGCGGCCGCCTGGAAGAGCCTCCTCGGCAGCTTAGGCACCCCGGAGGGCAACACCGATGGGGTGCAGCCTGGGCTCGGAAGGCGCGGGGAGCGGTTTCTAGGGGCTGGCGGTCGGGAAGTTTTGTTGTCTGCGCTGTATTCTACAACAAAGATTTTAAAGATACCTGCTTTCCCCTTCCTCGCCTTTACCCCAGAAATGCAAACCGCTCTGGGGCGCAGCCGGGGTAAGCCTCTTCTCCTTGAGCACGTTGGTGGGGGGGGGGGCAGGTCAGGTGAGGGGGCGGGGTCGGCGGCAGCCCCTCCCCGGGCAAAGCCGCTGGGAAGCTGGTGCCCCAGGAGAAGGCGGCAGGCTCTTCCCTCAGCAGCTGCTGAGACGGTAGTTCCTGGCTTTATTTGGGGGCCTGACCTTCGGCTGCTGACCCAGGTCCGCCCGCCCCCACGACTTGCCAGCACCACATGGTGTGGGGCCAGGGGAAGACTGCCGTCACCTCCGGAGTACCCGTGTCCCCGTGAGCAGAGAAGGACTGAGACGTGCACACCCCAGGGACAGGCAGCTGGCCTGCTCGGGCTGTGAGGGGCTTGCCTTGCACGCGATGCAAATGCCAAACGCTTATCAGCAACACGGAGCCAAAGATGAACTTTTCAAAGGAGCCCGGCCGGGCAGTAAAACCTTCCAACACAGATACCCTCCCCAGGGCCAAGGCGCCCCATCGCCAGCCCTGCAGAGGCAGGAGGGAGTCTCCCTGTCTGTGAGGCACCCCCAGCCCAGGCCCTGGCACTGTCACCCTGGCAGGCGGGCCGGCGCGACATTCAGTTCTGGAGGGACCACATCAGCCTTGGACCCCGCATACCTGGCTTTGCAGTTCAGACATCCTTATCTTCGCTTTTCAAGTCTTGAAGCCTGCCTCGTTGTTATGGGGCTAATTGGCTTAATGTAAGTTACCAGCTGGAAATGTGCCCTGCCTCATGACAAGTGTGCCCCCCAAAGGCCCAAGCACCTCCAAGGAGCTTGGCCTTCCCAGGGGCACACTGGGGTCTGTTAGGCCTTGCCTCAGGGAAGCCCGAATATGCACTCCACCCACGGCCCGGTTTTCCCTGTGGCATGTCAGGGTTCCCCTGCTCTGCCTCTCCTGTCTTGACTGGCACCCACAGGACAAAACCCACCATCCATCTGCCCCACCAGCCTGACGGGTAGCCCCCATGGGCGAGTGGAGCCCTCCGCAGGCTCGGAAACACCCGGCCCCAAGACGGCCACCTGGCACAGGAGCCCTCGGTGTGTTTGGGAAGACAAGTGTTTGCAGATACATGAACCCAGTGCCACAGGCTTTTCAAGTGTTACAGCCTGAGGGGACTTCAGAGGGATGTTCTGCCATCCTCAGAGCCAAGGTGAGGTGGAGCAACTGAATGTGACACTGTGAGCCTGCCGGGTGATGATAGCCTCATGTTGAACCAGCTCATCATTGTGGCTGAGCCCGACATTCATATTCATGCTAAGACTCAGATCAGGGAACTTAGGTCCGCTATCTTTTCCAGAGAGGGGGAATAAAACAATCTATTGATATACCTTAGTACTTGGATATTAATAACAATAGTCCAAAAGTAGACTGTCACCCACTAAAGGTCTGGGACGGGCTGGAACGGCCAGGGTTCAGCTCTGACTATTCAAAAAAACTCCACTCTTCTCACTGGGGCCTTACCTCCATTCTCCTCTTGATCTGGGTGTGACTGAAAAGGATTCAGCTTTCTACACACAGTTAGGAGGGAAATACCAACCTTTATTTACACTCAGGTTCCCGTTCAGAGCTATCTGAGACAGTTTAGCAAAGCTGGAAAAAGCATAGATCCTGTGGCCAAGCTTCAGATTACAAACAGGCATGTTTACTGTGTGACAGGCAAACATTCCCCACAGTTTCTTCAGCAAAGTGGGGGAGCTGCTGGCCCCGCTCCTGCACCTGTGACAGCTGCCCCGGCCTGGCCCCCAGCTGGCCACCTCACAGGGGCAGTGCTGAGAGCTCTGAACTTACCCAACACGACCCCAAGCCCCTAACTTTGGGGACTGTGGGTGCTGCAGCGAGAACACACCTAGGTGCTCAGTGATAGCCAGCTGGGCACTAACCACCACTGTTGCCCAGAACACGGACAGAGGGCCTTTGTATATACCTATTGAGTTCAGATGCTAGTTTAGAAGAAGAAAAGGATTTGGTAGTAATATTGCCGGGGACCCTGTTCATTTGGTGGGTTAAATAATATGATTTTAAAAATCATATGCTTAATGCTGACCTTAAAATCCACCCAACACTAGATATGCACATTTACACTAAGTGTGTGTGCATGTGTGTACACACACACAGGATCCACGAGGTAGTTTAAATCACTGTTGAAAAAGTGAGTCCTTCCCCAATTCTGTCACAGAGTGGTGACCAGTAGCTGCAAACAGCCGCCTAGAATTATTGGTTAAATTAAAACAAGAACTCAAAAAATTATAGGAGAAGATAACATTTACAAGTAAACAGTAAATACAACTGCATTTTTATTTCTTGGTCTCTGAAAACTAGGCTGTGACTGCTTTAAATTAATGGTCCAATTTATATGCATCTCCTCTACTGCTAATAGACGCAGCCTTCCACTCCCTGTACAACTTATGGAGTCAGTAGGTTCTATCTTAGAAATTACTTTACTTCTGTGGATGATTCAATATAACCTCTGTGCACACATTTTAGATATGATTCCCAATATCATTTGGAATTCCTGAAATAAAAAAATAATCACCATTCCCCATCTTCTTGGGAAAGTGCCAGGCTAAGGCCCTGACCGGAACTGCTGCTCTGTATCTGGGGAAATCTCTGTCCATACCCCCAGGCCAAAAAAGTGCAACCAATTCATGCTACACGGGAAAAAGCAACATCTATTGTTCTTAGAGTCTGATTCTCTTCCCCACAGCAAGAAAAGTCTCTTCATAGGTAGGTCCATGCTGCTGTCAGCTGCCAGGGATGCAGGGCTTTCTCAGGCCAGAGCAGGGAAGTCTTCGGGGTCATCCGGGTTTGGAGCAATGTCTTGTGTCTAAAGAAGAAAAGTTTTGAAACCAACTGCCAATTCACCCACTCCCACTCTGGCAGTGCCCTGTGAAGCACAGGGCCTGCCCTCACCCAGGGGAGAAGCTAGTCGGGGTGCAGCCCGAACAGTCAGGGCAGAGGCAGGTTCCTGTGGAAGGAGAGAGGCACAGGGTCACCGGTGGGCGCTGCTTCTGAGCAGCAGCAACATGCTGCCTGCACGCCACAGAGGTATGTCTCCTTTCTCAGGCTTGCTGTCCCCTCTGCAAAAGGGCTGCCAGCACTTGCCTCGCTGCCTCTCCCCTCCAGTCCTTACGGAGTAACCCTTTGTACCTGCACTTCCCTCATCCAATGAATGCCACAGCATGTTTACTATATGGAGACACATGGTTGATTAAAGACAGTTCATACCCTTGGGGAGCTCCCAGGGCTGGGGAGGAAACACTGAGAGAGTTCCAGTGTGCCCAGCATCACAGATGGCCTGGAAATGAGCACCCACAGCAGGGTGGCCTCTGCAATGGTGGTAAAGTACACATCACGGTCAGGAATAGTTTTCTGAAGAGAAGGTCCTGGAGATAAGCCTCAGTCCTGAGCAAAGAGGACACAGCCCTGAATCACAGCAGCGTGACAGGAGGGGTTGGGTCTGGGGTGGTCCTGAGCTGGAGGGGCACAGGGGGGTGGCAGGAGGGACAGACAGCAGAGAGGCAGAGATGCACCAGATCACCACGCTGCACAGGCCACACACTGCAGGAAGTTGGAGCACTGCTATTGGAAAGGAGCGAGTATTTTCTATTCCACAACAGATCCTTTTTCCAACCTGGTCTCAATTCTACCCAGAAAAAAACGTGTTTTTGCCTTGCTTAAGGGCAACAAAGTAGAGGCACTTGTCAGGGGCCACCCCATGGAGTGAGGGAATCGGGCAGCAAAGGGAACACTTCCAAGACCAACCACAGAGCAGGGGCTGCCCCAGAATATCCAGGACTGTACGGTGGCCCATTCTAGCCACAGGGCATTGTGGCCGACTCCCACTAAATAGGCACTCGTATATCTGTTCACAGAACATCGGTGAAGTGCCAGCTATATGCTTACATTATGCTAGCCACTGGGGAACTCACTATGAGCATGGCCTCCACTGGAAAGATGGCAGACGCTGATCAATAATCAAACCAGCAAGGATTCAATTACAAATGGAGATAATGCTTCAAGGAAAAGAGATAAAATTCTTTGCTCAAGCAATGTGACCTGGTGTGGGAGGAAATGTGGCCAAAAAGGCCCTCCCTGAGGAAGTGAGATCAGAGGACCTGTTGCTCTAGGTTCCAGCAGGCAAAGGGTTGGAGAAGGCCCAGAGGTGCACACACCCGTGGGGCAGGGCGCACTCATCGGGGGAACTAGAGGCAGAGCCGTGCTGGCCAAGGAGCGGGAAGAACCGCAGAGGCCCAAGGACACTGGAGCCCGGGGAGGGGTTCTACCTTCCCTGAAAGCACAAGGGCAGGCGGCATGCCATCCAGTCATAGTCAGAAAGCGATTGTCAAGCGATCTGATTCGAGCCCACGTGGGGGAAACCTGTCTGGGCAGGAGTGAGTTCTCCAGCACTGAGCGCATTCGCAGCATACAGTGGGCCTCCCAGAGGCCAGGGATACTGGACGGTCTGTATACAAGCGATGTCCACGATGCTGACACCGCCCTCCAGACACCCAACCTCAGACCCACACTAGACAGAAGGATGGGCAGCAGACCCTGATGACCCTCCCAAATCAGACTGGGTAGGCCCAGGGTGTCCGACCCTCTGGCATCCCTTAGAAAATAGCCCAGGACTTAGAATACACTCACCACCACTTCTGCTCTGGGCCCATAGTTCTCTGCCCTTCTGGTCCTTCCCCGGCCTCCCCGTGTGCCACCTCGGGCTCCACGCCCAGGACGAGGGAGGTCACCAAAATTAATGTCCAGCTGGGATGTGATGTCATTGGCCGCTTTCCGGAAGACGTGGGCATCATCCTCACAGTCATCCCTTACCACCTGAAACACGGCACAGCATCAGGCACATGCGCACGGCGGTCTCCATGCACGCTCACTCGGCCAGTGTCCCAGCGCTACACCGCGGTGGAGCTGAGATGGCCTCGCAGCTGGAAGGTGGCCTCCCTGATGCGCCCTGGGCCCTGGGCTACAGGGTTGGGCCGGGAGTGGGTGAGGGACACCACGCTGCCACCCTGGTTCCAGCACAGGTGGCCTCCGTGGTCTGCAGCCACACATCCTCATACTCAAGACTCTGCACATACTATTCAAATGAGACCAAATTTCTATCAGTTTAGCAAGGTAAGCTATGTGGATGGACATGAATAACAGATACATGTTATATAAATAGGTGTATTTTGCTGAAATTAAAAAGTTTTAATTTCTGCCTTTTGTTTTGCTTATTCACAAATACTTTGATAAATAAGGAAATATTACCTTCCTAGAATAGAACTTGATGAAGAAACTCCTTTCAATGTGGGTGCTGACTACAAATACCATATGTTAAAAACTGCATGATTTACACTGAACAGTTCTGACTCAAAACAAGACTATGGTTTTCTGAGCGCTACTACTGAGGCTACATGAAGAGCTCAAGCTGCTTTTTAAGAATGCTTTCTTTGAAGTTCTTTAAGAAAATACATTTTATTATAAGAGGTCAAGTAAGTTTCATCTCATTAAAAATATATTAAATAAATCTAAATTTGATGTGGCTTTACTTCATAATAATGGATAAAACAAACAAAAAAACCCTGCTTTTAAGTAATATATAAACCTACAGGAAACACGCCAGTGTTCCTGGATGAGACTCCATAGCACCATCATGTCAAACACTCCTGTGACTTGCCCAGGAACTGGAACCACCGTTCCCTGAGCACCTCGCCCCCATGAGGCTGCATGTTCACTGCACTTTTCATGCTAAACATTTGTGTCTCCTTGTTTCACACTGAAATAAAGCGGAGGCATTAGGGAGAGGGACTCTTGAAGCTAAGAAAGTAAAGGGAAGAACAATTTAGGAGAACTGCACTCTGGTAGAAATGCACAAAAAAGGAGGCAAGGTAATAAACTGCCAGCTCCACGTGCCTGAGCCGGGAAGCTTGTGGAGTGCTGGGGGAACTCCACAGCCTGCTCAGAGCTGCCAGGAGTCTGAACTTACTAATTCAAAGAGGTAGGATTCTAGTGCTTTTGTTTCTTAGTGTCCAGAGCAAAGCAACTTGTGACCCCAAGATTTGGCTTATGTTGCTTTAAGGACAATTCCTGGCAGAACTGCTGTAAGATTCAGTGCCATAAGACTAACCAGGATCAAAGATCTGTACTTTGCTGAGACCAAGGTTGATGACTCAGCTAACCCAGTTGCTTCAAATATTCCAGGAGACCTCTCTCCGGAGCCAGGGAGGTGAATCTGGTGTGGATTAGGGAAGAACAGCTTCTGTTTTTACCTACATGTCAGCTGTGCATTTCACACCCTGACAGCACATCTGTTTTACTCCCAAGTTTTATTTACAGTGCCCTGAAACAAGAAAGAACAGAAGTGGAGAAGAAGAGAACAGCTCAGCTAGCATCTATAGGCTTGTAAAAAGTACCTCACAGT